CATTCATTCTAAAGGAAGAGGAGGGGTGGGGGGGATAGAAAGCCAAAGTTTTGTAACGATGTAGAAATGAATTTGTTTATATATGAACGATGAATTTAATGTATCTGTTCATGTAAGTAGTTTCTAAAATTGGTAATGTCCTGCTCCTTATCGAAGCTGTGTTGACAATGAGAAGAGGAACAAAAGCTCACCCGGGTCAGGTCTAATGGTGGTGTGAACAGAGTAGCCATGTTCAAGGAGCCTCATGATCAACCAAGATGCTAAGAACCCAGTACCACCAGTTACACTTTACCTTTATCTCCTTCCATCTCTCTCCCCTCTCTCTCTCTCGAAATGAAGATGCATCGCACAAATGGCAGGGTATGTATATATATATATATATATATAGCACATTAATTAAAAATAATAATATAGTCTATAAAATTACAGATAATGTATTGATTGAGAGTCAGCATATAGTATATGCGATTTATTTACAAAATATTATTTTTTTTTAAATAATTTTGAATTTTAAATTTAAAAAACAAATAAATATTATTTTCTAGCTTTATTGTGATAATGATAATTTTTATTTATTTTTTGTAATTATAAAAATGATAGATAATGATTATAAGTTTTAATATTTAATATATTATTTATAATTTTATTATTTTTTCAATTAGATTTGTGATTATACTATTCCTTCAATACTGATATAAGGTGGTCCATGTTGTGTTGAAGGTTATCATTTTATTTTTATAAAAAATATTAAAAAAATATAAGATATAAAAATCTCAAAATCTGGCTAGATACCAGGCCCAACAATAATATTTATAATATTTGTATAAATTTTTATTTTTTTAATATTTAAAAAAATTATGATTTTTTTTAATAGTAATAACAACAACAACAACAATAATTTTTAATTTAATCCTTCAATTCAAATCTAGAGTTGTTTTTTAATATTAATAATATTTTTTAAAAAATTATTAATAATATTAATTATAATAAAAATAATAATATTTGTAATAAAAATAATACTTTTTTTAATAATTATTATTATTATTATAATACAAATAATAATGTTTTTATATTAATATTTTTAATTATAATAATATTTTGTATCCACAAAAATTCAAACTCTACATAAAACCTAAAAGAATTGGGTCCTTTGTAAAACACATTAATCTTGGATCTTGATATTGAATTCATGAGCATTGAATATTAATGCAGAATTCATTAACCTTGAGTTCTCCTATCACATCTAAGAAAATTGAATGATGATACAGAATCCATTATCTTTAATTTTGATGTCGGATCTAAAAAAAATTAGATTTAATTATAAAATTTAAAAGAATTGAGTATTAACGCAGAATTTATTTATTTTGAATTCTGATACCAAACCTAAAAAAAATTAAACCCTGATACAAAATCCATTAATCTCAAATCTGAATACAAATACATTACTAATAACTCTAGATTCAATAAAGCAGGTCTGCAGATCCAGACACGTGATTTTGCAGAACTAGCTAGCGGATCTGCAGATCCAGCAAGCAGGTCCATAGATGTCAAGTGCGCAGTTCTACAGACCCGCTTGATTGAATCTTTAACCAAGCACGCGAGTTTGACAGGAACACCCTGGACATGACAGCCCAGCACCGGGTGTCTGCCTTTTAACTTTCCTGTTAAAAAATAGAAAACTTACCAGGGTGAGGTCTGACGGTGGTGTTAACAGAGTAGCCTTGCTCCAGGAGCTTCATGATCAACCACGAGGCCAAGTACCCAGTGCCCCCTGTAACACACACTGTTCCTCTCTCTCCCTCCATTTCTCTCTCCCTCTCTAAGATGAAATGGTGTTGGTGGGTCTTCCTCCCTCTCTGGTTCATACTCATGGAAAGAAACGTGTCAACACCTCTTTCTTATCTTCAGAAGTGGTTACCTTTCGACATTGACAGTGAAACTACCGAACAGTGATAACAATGGCAGATAATTACAAGGAAGGAATCTTTAATCATATTTCACATGCGTTGCGAAATAATGAAAATATAAAATATATTATAACATAAGATGTAATGCGTGGGTGCGAGAACGAATCTAAAGAAATCCCTTCTCCTTGCATGATTGAATTGCCCCATCAAACATGTCTTCAAGACCGTGCTCAAATTTGAATCCACAATCCAAGAGCTTCTTGGGTGAGAGGCCACGCATTTTGAAACCTGTAATGTCCTTCAAGGAACTACGGACAAATACATAAGTTTGGAAACATACGCAAAAAATAGATGGAATTTTATTTTTCAACAATTGAAAATTCTTTTTTTACACACCCACATGTTAATTTGTGCGAATATTCACCTGTGTTGTCAATTTGCTCAAATTCTACCTCATTCTTCCACTTCGTCTAATTCCATCCAATTGATCATGTTTTCTTTAGATTTTGTGTCAAATTAACTAACATAAAATCTAATAAAAGTTACTAATCGATGAATTTCGCCGAACAATTAATACTAGGAAAGAAATATAGGCTCAAGATATGCAACTCACTCTTTCGTGGGAATCTGAAATTCTGGGTATCTAGCGGAAAGAAATTCAGACATCTCATTGATGGATATTTCTTCCCATGAACAAATATACCTTCCTGTTGCATGAGGGAATTCAAGCAGGAATATATATGCCCTGGCTACATCATCCGTGTGAACCACATTTAGCTTGATAAGGAGATGATACAATTGTTTCTCACCTGCGCACACAAACAAATGTTTATAACCTTTGTTGTGGATTCAAAGAATGAACCCAAGTCAGTTTAAAATGATGTGGATTCTATATTGTTTTTTTTATAAAAAAATATTATACCTAGTTTAATTTAAAATCAAAATCATGTTAAATTCTAAAATTATAAGTTATAAATTAATTTTCCATATCACCGGAATTTAATAACACTACATGGAAATATTAAGAAGTAAAAAGATTTTAACATATGCCATAAGATAAAATTCAAGTTCTAAGTCCGCATTAAAGTTAAACCAAAACAAATTAGCTCACCAAAAATCAAAGATAGTGACCATCGGACCGATTCAGGGATGCGAGGGCATATGAAAGGACCGACGATTAGTGGAGGAATCAAGAACACAAGATCCAATCCATATTGCTCAGCAAAATCAAGAGCTGCCCTTTCAGTCTTATTCTTAATTAGCAACCAAGTAGGAAGTGCCAAAACGATTTAGGCTTCTATAATAATCTATGTTGGTCCACGAACTCTCATCCACCACCTTCTCATCACCATCACCACTATATATAACTGCGGCTTGACTAGAAGCACAGACAACTCTCTTCACTTTCTTTGCATTTACACATGCTCTCAAAACCCCTAGAGTGCCATCAACAGCTCTTTTGGTGATTACTTCTTCTGGTTCTCTATCAGCAAAGTCAAGGGGGAACGCGAGATGAAAGACTCCCATGCATCCTTCAATGGCCTCATTGAAACTGTCCGGATCGTCAAGATCTGCGTTGAAGATTTGGAGTTTCTCTGCCGCTCTTGGTAGGTTTGTGAGGTAGCTTATGTCTTTGCTAATTCCTGGCCATGCATATAGTACAAAAAGAGATTATCAGGGTCATGTTCTCTTCGGATAGATAGAACAAATCCAATGCCGAAAAGTCATGAAGGGCAAAGAGAAGGTCAAAAAAGGGTTCTGGTTTAACACGCACGCATACTGCCCAGCGCGAGCTAATGTTTTGCAGCATTCAACAAATTAATTATGAATAGATGTCTACAGGCACACTTTATTTTATTCGAAAGATATTTTTTAATCTGAGAGCTCCTAATTAAGAATAAAAGAAAGAAATATTAGTTGAGTTACAATTACGTACTTTGGCTATATGTAGCCATACTAATTTAGGAAGGGCAAATACAAGAATTTTCAAGATCAAAGGGGAAAACGTATGCTCACCTGGGCTAGATCTAATTGTGGTTCTGACAGTGTAACCATGTTCAAGAAGCCTCATTATCAGCCATGAAGCAACAAAACCAGTCCCACCAGTTACACAGACCAAGCCTTTTCCTTCTTCCATTTGTTAATCTCTTCCTTTCTATGTGTCGGCAAAGGAGGATCACTCACCTTTTAAAAGCAATATGTTTCTCTTATTGGCATGTTTAAAAAACGTGGCAAAGGCCGCTTTTAATTTTTCTTTTTATTTAATTCTTGCCAGGACACACCTTATTTGTGAAAGTGGAACCCAATTTTCCAAAGCCATCGGATGCCACACCAAAACGTGTGAGGCCTCCTCAATGGATTAAATTAATAGGCGTATTTTAGTACATTGACAGGTAGACATTGAACAGCTTGTCAGTAACAATATATTTTTATAAACAACAATTATTATTAAAAAAAATAGAGAGACATGGGTTTCGCTAACAAGTTATTAGGGTTTTCAATAAATTTTTTTTAATCATCCCATTTTTTTTGCGTCTACTATTAAATCTTTGTGGCCAAATCGATGACTAATTGTTTAAAAGTTGTTGACGAATGACAAGATTTAGATTTGAAGGATCAAATTGAAAAGTATAAAAAAATTAGATGGCAATTTTAAATTTGACATAAAAAGGGACATTTTGATCCTCCCACTTTTCTATTCATACAACTACAATTCCTTTGGTTTTAAAAAAATCACTTTTAATTTAAAATTTTATTTTATTTACCTTTCAGCCTCTTGATTTAAAAAAAAAATCATCAGATCATTGATGAGGGGGAGAGAAAATTATTATTGCTTTTAATTTCAACCATAAAAAAAATTGATATTAATGCCAATGAATTCTAATAAATAAAAAAAGTTTGAATTCTAATAAATGAAAAAACAATTAATTAAATATTATTTGGCCTAAACCTTGCTTAAGAAGGTAGATATGGGGTTGGAGAGTATTTTTAGTTCGTGATTGATTTTGGGCTTTTTAATCAATTTCTAGGTTATTTATACCATAAATAGGTTTATTAATATTTTAGGGTTTCTATAAGGTGTTTTAAGGTAAAAATTGAGTTAAAAATAAGCTTTCGAGTGTAAAATATATTTTCTTGATTTTTTATTAGTAGAGGCATAAGTTTTTTTATTTTTTACAAACATATTTGCACATGAATTTAAATCATAATTTTGTATGTGAAAATAATACATTATCATATTTATTGGTATTTTTTTCATTCATTTAATTTTCATTATAATTTTTTTAATATATACTAAAAAAATATTTTGATTAGTATTTATTGATGGATGCAACAAGAATATATTCAACTGGAAATATTCACCGCAATATTCCAACTGAAATATTTTATTAGTATGTTTATTTGTATTTTTTTTAATTTTCTTGTAATGCACAACATATTTTATTACAAAAAAAATAAAAAAAAATTTAGCTGTAGTTTCTAGAGCCAAAAGGCTGGGCAGTTCAAGGTATGTTTAGTATGATCTATGAAAAGTATTTATTTACTTTAAATAATAATTTAAAAGTTTTTTATAAATAACTTAGGAAAAAAATAAGTTAAAATGATTTTAGGTTACGGAACATATTTAATAAAAATAACTTAAATCAACTTTTTTAAAGAAAAAAATATAAGTCAGAATTCATAAGTTTAAATTTTTTATTTTTTATTAAAACAAAATTTTAATCTAAATTTGTAAAAAGCTTTTGATTTAAACCAAAATCTATTTCTAAATAAGTATATTTATTATATTTAGATGAATCAGAAGTTCATAAATTATTGTTTATATATAATAAAATAAAATAAAAAATTATATACATTAATAAAAACACCTCTGACAGCCCAGCACCGACACCCAGACATGACAGCCCAGCACGGGGTGTCTGCCTTTTAACTTTTCTGTTAAAAAATAGAAAACTTACCAGGGTGAGGTCTGACGGTGGTGTTAACAGAGTAGCCTTGCTCCAGGAGCTTCATGATCAACCACGAGGCCAAGTACCCGGTGCCCCCTGTAACATACACTGTTCCTCTCTCTCCCTCCATTTCTCCCTCCCTCTCTAAGATGAAATTGTGGTGGTGGGTTTTCCTCCCTCTCTGGTTCATATCCATGGAAAGAAACGTGTCAACTCCTCTTTCAAATTTTCAGAAGTGGTTAACTTTTGACATTAACAGTGAAGCTACCAGACAAAAACATATTTTCCAAGCAATCGCTTTAATTTCTTTCCTTTTCCTTCAGTCAGCTACTCGCGGTGCATAAGCGATTAATACTGCTATTATTTTTTAAAATATTTTTTATATTAAAATAATATTTTTTATTTTTTTTATTATCAACCCATTAAATTAATCTAAAATATATATATAATTTTTTTAATAAAAAATAAATTTCTAAAAAACACAATTCCTGAACCTGTGCTTAAATAAATAGCTAAGACTAAAAATCCTTTAAATAAATAGCTAAGACTAAAGATTCAGATGAAGAAGGGCTTTCTTTTATTTATTTCTTATTTTTTTAATGAAATGTGTGTTCGAATAAATTGCTAACATAATATCATGTAAAAAACACTAAGAAGCTTGGGAATAAATTGCTAACATAATATTATGTAAAAAACACTAAGAAGCTTGGGATTTATTTTACTACAAGAGTCTATCTTCTTATATTTTTTTATTGATATATTATTCAATTTAAAAAAAAATTGATTCTCACATTTTTTTTATGTGATTGTATTTTTTCCATGCCAAATTCAATAGCGATTGAGTTATTGACTAAAAATAAAATTAAAAAAATAATTAAAATAAAAATTACACTACAAATATGTGATGATTTTAAATTTTATACAAAAAATTTAATTTAGTACTTATATTTTAATAATTATATATACATAGTGCCTAATGACATGGATGCAACAAAAATAAATAAGGGTTTGCTAACAAGTTATTAGGGTTTTCAATAATTTTTTTTAATCATTTCATTTTTTTTCTCTATTATTGGATCTTTTTGTGACCAGTCAATAACTAATTATTTAAAAATTGTTGAGGAATGATATGATTTAAACTTAAAAGATCAAATTAAAAAACATAAAGAAACTATATGATAATTTCAAATTTAACAAGAAAAATCCACTTTGATCCTTCTATTTTTCTATTGATACAACTACAATCCTTTTAGTTTTTAAAAATTTGTTTTTGATTCAAAATTTTATTTTATTTACCTTTTAGTCTCTTGGTTTGAAAGACAAGAGAAAAGAGTAATCAGATTATTAATAAAGGAAAGAGGAAATCATTGTTGCCTTTAATTTTAATTATAGAAAAAATTAATATTAATATCAATGAGCTCCATTCGAAGAAAAAAGAAGAAGTTCTATTTGGGTGTTATTTGACCTAAATCTTATATAAGAAGGTGGATATGAGATTGAAATTTTTTTTTTAGTTTTGGATTGATTTTGAATTTTTTAATTAATTTTTGAGTTATTTATACCATAAATAATTTTATTTATATTTCTCGGGATTGTATAAAATGTTTTGAGGTAAAATTTGAGTTAAAGAAAAAGTTTTTTTTTTTTTACACAAAACATCTTCTTCTGATTTTTTAGTAACCAGAGCAGGCTAGTTGATGCGATGTTACATATATATTTTTTTAAATAAAAAATAAATTATGTGTTGTTCACCTTCTAATATAAAAAAGAAGGTCCTATGCATGGACCGAGCTTTTTTTAAATTAGTCATGTGCAGACACACATGCTTAGTTTGATTTATTCATTTTCCTCTATTTTACACTTAAGATTATTTAAATACATTAATTAAAAATAATTTGAAGTTTTTTTTATCGGATACCATTGAATTTTTAATTTTTTTTATGAGATCATTGCTTTGTTTTATTATTTTAGCAAATGTTATTTTTGTGCAACCCTTTTTATTTTTTTCTTTATTTAAAAAAAAATATTTCATTTTTAATTTTTTTAGTTTTATTTGATTAAATATACCGTTATTTTTTTAAAAAAAAATTTGTAGCATTATTTTTTTTATAAGCATTCTTATTATGAAGCCCCCATGATAGTTTTCTTTTTTTAAGTTGTATTTCATTGTTTTCTTTGTACATGTTGATTTTTATTATGATATAGTTTAATAAAAAATATTTTTAAAAAATAAAGTTATTAAATCCATCCCATTATCTAGCTCAAGTATTTTGCAGGATAAATTAATTTGATCCAGATCGATCAAAAATATTGTTATCATATTTTTTTTTTAAAAAAATATTATAATAATGTTAATTGAAAAATAATTTTTTAAATATCGAACTAAATTTTAATCGATCACATCTAGTCAATTCTCATATGATTTAATTTAAAATTTAAATTAGATAAAAATAAAGGTAAAGAATCTCTCAACTTCTTAACTTGTTTTTTAGCTATTTTTAACAAAATGTTTTTAACATTTATTAACATCTTTGATTCTCTATTTGTCTTATTAAATGAACATATTAACTTTTTATCTCTAAAAAAAATTTCTTGGTGCTACAAAATGAATTAGCTATGGCTGTAGCTTTTTTTGGTTAAGAAAATTGATCTAACTCAAGACTCTTCCCTTGACTCTGGTAAGCTGTTGTTTTTTGTTAAGAAAAAAATATTATGATTAAGTTAGATGTGAGAAAAAAAAAAAGAAAATTATTGTCTGAAGGTGATAGGATTTTAACTATGAAAACCTTTTTTTTTACCTCACTTTAAATCATTAATAATTAGGTTTTTTTTTATTAATTCTAATTGCTTACATTTATAAGTTTATGAATTTTTTATTAAAAGAAAATTATTAAAATAAAATATATTTTTCATAATTTCTTTGGTTATGTGAAACACTTTTATATTTTTATTTTTATGTATTGATAAAAAAAATAATATTTCAGCTATAGTAATATAGCTAGCTAGTTCACATATATTAAAAGGTTTCATGGTAGCAATAAATAATGAAATGTCAATGTCTTTTTATTTTGATATTTTTTTTAAAAAAATTTAAAATTTAGTTTTTTTTTTAATTTTATCATTAAATATTAAGTTTAAATAAATAAATAAATAGTTTTGCTTATTTAAAATGAAAAATCCTTAATAAAATTTAAATCAGAATAAGAATATTAACAAATTAAGTATTGAGGTAACCAAATTTATAATAAAAAATTGATTTGTGATAAAATTATAGGGAGAAAGGTTGCTATTTGTTGCAGAGAAAAATAAAAGAAGAAAAATATAAAGAGGAAATAAGAGTTATTTGTCAGGTCATAAATTAAATATTACAAATAAATTTATAAAAGATTTAAATTCTTTGATAATTTATAAAATTATATATAACATGTCATTATATTTATTAGTCATATTTTTTTATTTTTTTTATTATAATTCTTCTAGTATATACTAAAGAAATAATTTGGTTGGTGTTTATCAATAGATGCCACGAGGACATACTCTTCCAGAAATATTTATTGTAATATACTAATAAAATTATTTTATTGATATGTCTGTTTATATTTTTTAATTTTCTAGTATTGCTAAACATATTTTATTGCAATATATATATATATATATATATTAAATGAATGTTTTTTTAGATTTTTTTTTATTGTTTTTATATATTGATGTTGAAAATAAAAAAATTATTTTAATATATTTTTAATTAAAAATTATTTTTTAAAAATATCTTCCATTACAAAACACACATGTAATCATGAAAAATACACCACGCGATACACTTGCAAAACAAACTTCGACGATATATTTAAAAAAGTCCCTTCTCCTTGCAGGATTGTATAGCTCCATCAAACATGTCTCCAAGACCGTACTTAAATTTGAATCCACAATCCAGGAGCTTCTTGGATGAGAGGCTACATATTTTATATCCTTCAATGTCCTTCAAGGACGAAATGGATCTGCATCCAAGAGAGAGATGTAAGGTCCGCAAAATAAATTAAAAACAGCTTTCGTTAAAGATTAATGGAAACATGTAGGAAAAGCAGGCTCACTCTCTCGCTGGGATTTGAAGATCTGGGTATCTAGCAGAAAGAAATTCAAACATCTCATTGAGCGATACTTCGTTCGATGAACAAAGATATCTCCCTTTTGCATTAGAATTTTCAAGCAGAAATATGTGTGCCATAGCCACATCATCTATGTGCACCATATTCGACTTGGTAAGGAATCGATAGTGATTCCTGTTGCCTGCACATTTAAAGCTGTCAAAAGTTCCTGTATGAATGCTGCAGCTTATAGCATCCATTAACATAACTTCTAGGAAGTGATTTCTGACATTAAGTTTACGTTTGTTTCATATAAAATAGCTTACGAGAAATATTTTCCTCAATTTTCTTATTTATTTACTTGACAAAACTTAGTCATTGTAAAATATTCTTAGAACAATATTTTTATGTAAGACAGTTTTCCAAAACAAGTTATTCTACTTGAAAAACAAACCATGCCTAAGCCATATATAATCCAGAAATAAGTTTTTTTTTATAAATAACTTATGATAAAAATGATTTAACTTAATTAAACACATGACTGATAAAATTGATTCACAGTAACTAAGGAAATTAAGTTGCATAAGTTAGAATTAATGAATTAAAATTAAAATTCATGATTTTTTTTTATTAAGATGAAGATTTAACTAACAACCTTTTAATTTAGTTTAGAATTCATTTTGCAGCTAAATAGATTCTGAATTGTTTTTAAGCCGAAGTTAAAATGAACTAGTTTGCAAGAGTCATGGCAAATGAAACTTAAGAGAGTGAAAACATACCCAGAACCATGGCTAGTCCGATGTGCACAGAGCTTGGGATTTTAGGACAAATGAAGGGACCCAACACCAGGGAAGGAATCAAAGTCACTAGATCCAATCCATGTTGTTCGGCAAATTCCAGAGCTGCCCTTTCGGCATATGTCTTGGCAATCAAGGAAGGATTGCCAATTACATTTAGACTTCTGAAGTAATCTATGTCTGTCCATGCACTCTCATCCGCCACTTGCTGACCATTTCCACTAAATAAAACAGTCGATATACCTGAAGTGTAAACAACTCTCTTCACTGTCTTTGAATTTAGGCATGCCTGCAAAACACCTATGGTTCCTTCAGTAGCTCTTTTGATGACCATTTCTTCCGCTTCTTCTTGTGTAAAACGA